CTCCTAAATTGGCACAATTTACTACTTGGAGAAGTTTTTAAAGTGACTCCCTAGGTCCTTCTGATTGTCTGTGCTTTCCTCAGTTCCCTGCCATTTGTTTTGGACCTAATAAATATGGGTGGCCCACAGAAGTCTTTGTCTTAGTCCTCAGTGTTTTGATCTCAGCTAAAGGGTTTTGACCCTCCTGGAGCCCGAAAATCATACTGTCTCATTTTATTTAGGCTTTAACTGTATACTCATTTGGGAGACTGGGGATCAGGTCAGGGCCTGATATTTTTGAATTAAATATGTATCTTGTGCAGCATATGTTTGTATCTTGCCTCTTGATCCAGTCTGCCACTCTGTTTCTTTTGATTGGTGTGTTGAGACCATTAACATTGATGGTTATAACTGATACATATTGACATGTTTGTCATGTGATTTTCCTATTTATGACCTTCCCTCCTTTCTGCATTTAATTGTTTGTCTTTCCTGGTGTATTCTTTCTGTTTTGGTTCTTGGACTTTTAATCATTTTTATCCTGTTCTAGAATGTCCTTCAGAACTTTTTGGAGTTATAATTTGGTGTCTATGAAATTCCTCTGTTATTGTTTGTCCAGGAAGTATCTTATTGCCCCATCAACTTTGAAAGATAGTACGTCAGTCTTGGTTGGTGTTTGTTTTCTATTAAGGCATGACAAGCTGTCCTTGACTTGAGGGTTTGTGTTAAGAAGTCAGCTATGATAATGATGGACTTTCTTTTATAGGTGATGCTGGTTTTTGTTTTCCCCAGGAAGCATTTAATAGTGTTCCTCTGCTGAATCTCTGAAATATTGACTATTTTATGCCTTGATGTAGTTTTTTAAAATCATGATTGTTTGGGTTTCTATATGCCTCAGTTATCTAGATGCCAAATTCAGGGAAACCAGATAAATTTTCTACTGACATACGTGAACAAACTTTACATGGTTTGTGCTCTCTCCAGCTTTTTAAATTTACTCTAATTAATCTTATGTCTTTCTTCTTTGCATTGTCTAGCAAATGCTAGATTGCTTTCTAATAGTCTCTTGCTATTTTTAAGAAATCTTAGTTGTTATGATGGCTAACTTCAAGCATGTCTTCTATATCCACTCTTTTTCCCTTGAGTTGATTTTTTCGCTGTATATAATTTTACTAGAATTGTTAGTCTCCTGGCTATCTGTTTAATGTGTTTCATGGATTCAATTACTTTCCTTCTTTGGGCATTTATGATTTCCATTATTTTCTTTAGCTTTTCTATTTTTTAAAATCTGTATGTGCTGTACAGCCACTAAGCATGTTTTGCATTGAAGTCTCTGTCTCTGTTGTTATCTGAGAAATTATTTTGGATTTGATATTTTCTAGTGCCTCACTCATTGGTTTGTTGTTACCACTTCAGGGAGGCTAGATTGGTGCCTTTCTTTGACACTGGCCCACAGTATTTTCTATTACCCTGAGCAATCTCAGTCTTCCGGTACCACAAAGACCAACTGGTTAGAACATTCATCAACAAAAACAGCATCAAATGGTACAATCAGTAATACCAATAGCATCAAACATAACTTAGAAAATGACAAACTGAAGTAATTTGCCACCTTTAAGTGTATGAGCTAAATTTGTGGTTATATGACAAAATCTAAAACAAGGCAGAAAACTGTATGCATTAAATTAGTCCTCAGTATGCCAGTTTTAGCCTCAGGGGAGAAAAGTTTAAAGGAGTTAGTGGAAAAATAGAGAACTAAAAGAAGAAGAAGAGATTGGGATCAAGACTGGGGACAGCGAGAGATCACACAAATGTTGGGAAAGTGGTGCAGAAGATAAGAGGGAAAGAGAGAAGCAAAAAATAAAAGAAAGCATGAACGAAAGAATAGAACAGAATAACAACCACAGAAAAGTTAGAAACTACAGTCCCACTTATAGAAACCAAGATCAACTGATGACAAGGCTTAAAAAAAAGGAAACAAAAGAAAAAAAGAGGGAGAAAAAAGAAGTCTCCTTTAAGCTTTGTCTCTGCTGTCACTGGTAGTGAATGTGCGGAGGCTGAGTACAGATCTACATTGATTTATCCCAGCAAGCTAGTATTAGCTTCCTGGCTGAGTAGCGGATAGTTTAGTGAGCCCATACTTTCATTTCCCCTGAGGTCCAAGTTGATTTCTGGCTGTAGGGCTGGAACCAGACCTATTTGGCCTGCAGCAGTCAGTGTACTTTCTGTAGGCCTGAACTCAGCTGGGAGCCTCTACCGAAGCCAATAGTTGTTGTAAGTTTTGAACTCACATGGCCACCTCCAAAATGGCTTGTGGCAATCACCCCCACTCTCAAGATGGCCAGCCAAATCCAGTCCACTCATCAGCAAGTGCAGTCCATGGTGTCTACTCCTCTGTTGCATTGCTGTATCCCTCTGTGGAGGCCTCTAGGGTTGCCAGCAGCCACCATGTGTCTGCAGTTTGAACCCCTCTCCCATGTAGTGAGTACTGACTCAGGGGGAAGGCGCCTCACACCAACTCCTCCTTATATGTTGAACTTTTGCTCTTTGCTCTCTCCATGGGATTCACCTCTGGCTTCAGATCCTTCTTGGGTACATAAGACCCACTTCCCTCCTTTTCCTCTTCCTCACATTTTGACAGTTCAGTGTCTGAACAGCGCATCTCAAAAGGGCTGTTTCTCTTCTGTTTATCACTCCATCATCTTTCCGAAAATACAGAGTTTTGATCTTATACCTGTCCAAAATCCTACTCTTTGTGGTTCAAGGGTGATAAGAGATTACATTAAATTCAGTCTATTATATTTAACTAATAAACCCCCCAGTACTCTACTCACTCGTTTCTTAAATGAACTTCTGTATTTGGAAATCCCATTATAATGTGCAACAGAGTCTTGCATTTTAAGTTAGGCAGCCTCAATAATAAACTGATGCTAGGCATGGTGGCACATACCTGTAATTCTAGCACTCAGAAGGCTAAGGCAGGAGGATCATTACAAATTTGCGACCAGCATGGGAGTGAGCTCAAGGCCAGCCTGAACTAGATAATGAGATACTGTTCCCAAAAGACAAAAAGTAACAAAGAAAATAATAGATCCTTAAAGTGATAAATAAAATAATAAATAATAGTAATAAATGATAGCAATAAATAAAATAATAGATAATAAATAAAAATAATAAATAAAATAATCGCTTGCTCTGAATGTGTCCTTTATAATAAAAGTGTAATATTCAGGATTGAACTACAAAGTTCAGGATTGAGTTTCCTGAATAATCATTGTGAATTATCAAATCAGGTATCCAAGGGATATCTCAATTTGTGATAAATTGATACCAGATGTGTTTTTTCTGGAATTCCTGAACTGCTGCTGTTACGTCAAGTGGGGGCCTACTGGTGGAGAGTTGGGCTTTTCACCAGTAAAATTTGACTTTTATACATGGAGTTTAGCATTAAAACCCATTGAACAGGTAGCCTAGATGAGTTTTGAAGAATTGCAAGAATAAATACACTCTGTGAATGGCAGTGAGGCCCTCTCCTAAAGCTTCAGGTACTCAACAGGCTCAGAGGGGCCCAGCTTCATTTGCAAGTTTGTGTTCTCTCTCTCTCTCTCCTCTCTCTCTCTGTCTTTCTGTCTCTCTCTCTCTCTCCTCTCTTGGTCTTTCTGTCTCTCTCTCTCCCTCTATCTCTCTTTTTCTGTCTCTTTTTGTCTCTGTGTCACACACACAGATGCAAATGCACACAACAAACCATACACTGAGAGCTCCTTGAAGATGGAGATGTGGTGAACTAGCAATCTAGGAAAAGTTCTTATGCATCCTGTGTGTGCACCTGGCCCTGCGGGTCAAGGCCACGCCCTGGAAACTGCAGGTAAGTGGTCAGAGCTATCCTTCTTTGGAAAGATTACTGATGTGGTTTAGATCTGGAATATTTCTGAAAATTCTCATGCACTCAGAGACAGGACTTTTCAAATGAGATTAAATCAGGAGGATGTTATACTTATCAGTGGATTCATCTACTAATAAGTTCAGTTGCTGAGTGTGCTGTTAGGGTGTGGAGCTTGGTTAGAAGAAGGACTTTGAGGGGACATGGATCTTTTCCCGTTTCTTTCTTCACTCTCTTAGTTTTCAGGCTTCCACTAGGTGATCATCTTTCTTCTCTCAGATCCTTCCATCATTTCCTTCTGCCTTGGAATCAGCTGACTATGAGGCACCTCCTTTAAAATGTAGGAGGCCAAAATAAACCTCCTCTTGGAGTTGTGGGTTTGAATATTTTGTCCCCATGATGAGAAAATGACTGATACAATACTGAATATAGAGAACTCCAACAAAAGGATAGGGATGTGTATTATACTGTGAATGCACCTGTCATCAGCTCTATCATATAAAATAATATTCCTTCAGGACACTGGTGAGTGAAAAGAACTACATATTTCTGTTCATAAACTCAAATAGATGAAATGTTCCTAAAAATAATTTGTGTCTAGGGCACCATGTAATTAAAATTACAACTTACGTATTGTAATAACGCCATGTGAGGAATCTCCGAGACTGAAGCTGTGAGGATGATCAGATTTTATTTCTCTACTAACAGGCAGGCTGACATCTGAATGAATATCAATTATTGTTTAAAGGGCTGATTGTATATATATAGGTTTATGTTTGGAGGTGCAAATTTAAGGAATCTCAAAAAATCTGGTATGAGTTTAAAGTGTGAGGGAATCAATGCAGGTTGGTACACAGAGCTGGCATCAAGGGACTTCTTGGTGGCCTTAGCCTCTGAATAAAATTTTATTGCCCTTGCTTCTTATTTACCAGATACGAGCTATTGCCAGCAAGGAAGAGTCGATAGTTTATCACGGGCAACCCAAGATTCTCCGAGGTCATTCTCAGGCCCGTCTTGATGTCTGGAAAGAAAGAATGTCTCATGCAGGATCAGGAGGCTCCCTCTGAACCCTGTGAGTCAGGACAATGGGAAGGAAGCAAGCACAGGACAGATCAGTCAGAAGTTTTTGTCTCACTTCCCCCCTGACTGTGTCACTGTGGGTTATACCAAGCTACTCCCACTGCCGTGGTCTGCCCCACAGTAGTAGACATTCTCATCTTCTTCTTGGATGTTCTGGATGGTCAGGTACCGTTCAGAGCCAGAACCTGATCCTGAGAATCGATCAGGGATTCCACTCCCCTTGGATCCCACAATACCACTAGTACCCACTCGCATCACAAACCGAGGGCTCTTTCCCTGGCTCTGCTGGTACCAGTCCACATTGTAGTTACTGTAGCCACTGCTCAGGGTACAGGTGAGTTTGTGTGTCTGTCCCAGGGAGGCAGATGCAGAGGGCAGCTGAGTCAGCACAGGCTGGGAGAGAGACCCTGGAAACACAGACCTCCATTAAAAATCCCATTGGGAGACAGGAGAATTGTTCTAGGGGGAGGACAGGGCTGGTGTCTGGGTGTAGGCAACAATGGTATCCAAGAGGCAGTGATCATTTTTCACATCTGACCTGTGAAGAAAGTGGTGATGGTTAAGAAGAGATGAGCCCAGGCCATGGTGGAGATGCCCCAATGCTGAGTCCTTCAGGCCCCAAGCTGAGACAGAGATTTGAAGCCTTTTATTCTCCTAGTTTATTACTGGTCAGGGTCTAGTTGCCTATGCAAATCTTCTCCTTACCAAAGTTGGTATTAAAAAGGGTGGTGGCTAAGTTGGATAATTTACATGGATTTGGTTTCATTCAGATTGCCTCTCCCTAGTGGCCAACATTATCAGCCTGTGGAGTTGTATAAACCTTGCTAAGTCCCTTAATCACAGCCTTCATGCAGGGCCCAAGTGTGTGTACTTCAAACACCTCCTCTTCCATTTCTCAAATTTCATATTATCTGCACAATTATTTTGCTCCTGTAGTGCAAATGTTCTGAATGGCCAGGGACTGATCCAAGCCAGAGCCTGATCCTGAATATTGGTCAGAGATTCCACACCCCTTGGATCCCACAATACCACTATTACCCACTTACAATCACAAAATGAGAGCCCCTTCCCTGGCCCTTGAGTGGCATGCATTGGCTCTGTCAGCTAATTCTAGAACCTGTCCCAATTTCGTCTTAGCATAGCAGAGTCATTAAACAATTACTCAGTAAACACTGTGAGGTGGCCACTGTGGTACAGAGCTCATCCCTGACGCTGGGAAGAGAAGTGCGAGACATGGCCCGTGCTCAGAGCATATTTGGTTCTTTACTGGAGACCTCTGCTCACATCATCAGCTAATGCTGAGTGTAGCCCAGGGTTGTCTCTGATGACTTCCAGGGAAATGCCTAGCAACTCACACACAGGTAACACATATACCACAGTTAATGTGATTGCAAACCAAAATATAGAAATTGTAGACCTTTGTAGAAATTGGACCTGAGAAACCAGAATGTAAAAAAATTAAAAAACTTAAGAACTCATTTTTATTGCATTTTGTTTCATATTTGAGTTTACCTTCATGAAGTCCTGTATGACTAAGTTGCTGTGGTAAACTCACTAACATTGCACAGAAAAAAAAGATATAAACTATGTCTTCATATTGTCAGTTGATGTTGCTTGATCCTGATAGTTTTCCTTGCTTCAGATATCTGTAATCTAGAAATATATTTCCACAAAGTGTGGTACAAGTGAAAATAAGGAATGCACAGTGCAGCATAAGGTAGATGATGGCATATTGAGCAGGATTCATTTTCCCACCTGCTATTCTCAGATTCTAGGTTTAAGCCCAGTGGAGATGTGTGCACTGTACTCCAGACCTGGTCGGTAATTCCATGAGGCTGTGTCCCCAGTTCCAGCAAAGCTGGTCCACTTTGTGGAAATACTGAGCTACTTTACAGTAAGGGGTGATCTCTCACATGAAAATCAGCTTGAACGCTGTGTGGAGACCTTCCTGCATCCTGGAAATGTCACACTGGATGCTGTAGGATTGGGCAGCTTTTATTAAGCACACTGTGAAATATGGACTATTCTGCTCCTTGAGATGGGACTGCAAGCAGTTTATTGTGAATCCACGACTATGTTTGAAGGACTTTGAAAATGACGGTCAGAAAAATATCTAAAATAAAGGCTAGAGCAAAAACTCCAAGACTGATCTAAGGTTTCCAGCAGGAATATGTCTCACATGGAGCCTGAGGGACTTATTTTCATCATCCTTCAGGCTCTTGACAACACAGCACACACTGCCATCTGGTGGGAGGAAAAATATTCCATCACCCTGGGAGGGATGAAAGCTAGAGAGCCAGAGTTTAGCACTGGTATTTCAAACAGCACCGATTGTGAATTGTGTCTCTCCATTGTGGGTTTATGGCCAAGCGTGGATTTGACAAGGAGAAATGGTTAGGAAAGAGAGCTGCAGCAGGCGAGGGTAAGAAGAGGTATCTTGTGCTACTGGAGAAAAAATGTTAAAGTCTGCACTTACTCTCATTTTTACTACAAACAACTTCCATACAAGGTTATTTTTGACATAGAAGTAATAGTAATTGAACAAATGAAAGTTAGAATTCTCGAGCACCTGCTGCTGCTGCTCACTCTAGGATGATCCTTTTATGTTCCCCCCTCAGTTCTTATGGTCTATTGTTCTTCTGTGTCACGTACAGTGTGAATCTTTTCCCAACACTGTCATCAACATCAGTTGTAGGAGAATGAGATCAGAGACCTGCTCTGCTATCAGAGCAGCCGAGTGTGGTGAACTCTGTTTTCTCATGGGAGGAAGCACCTGCTCTGACCTCCGTCTCAGACCTCTGAGCACAAACCAGCCCTTTGTGACCTTTTCAGGCTTTGCCAATCCTTGTGAAGGCTCCCAGGGCCCCTAGTGTGCTTTCACGACTATTGGTATTTTCTAGTTGTGTGACGTATCTTCTTATCATAGGGTTTTAATTTCATTGTTGTATGTTTCATAACAAAGTAATTTGATAATAACAATGGCTACTACACAGTAATATTTCTAAGAGAGTGGCTAAAATCCTACTCCAAATAGAAGTTATAGACACAGTAGACTCTTACAGTGAAGGAGCAAACAAGAGAACAAGACTTTCTTTTGAGTGAACAAACAAAATTAGTATGACAAAATCGTTTTGTGTATATCTTACAGAGCAAAACAGAAGACAGATGATCAGGAAGTATGGAGAATTTCAAATAATTTTCCAAATTGTTTCCAAATTAATTCAAAAGTATTTTAAGATACATGATTTCTAACATGAGTTCCCACTCACTTCAAGTTTTAAACATTATTTTTGCTTCTTAAAATTACATTAAATTTACTTTGATGACATCTCTTTATTCCTTTTTCATTGGTTTAAAGATAGGGTGAAATGGTTCATTATTGAGATTTTATGTGTTTTCTTTAAAACTCTCTTCACACAACTTCAGCACCCAAGTGATTTTAGTGGTGACATCTGGGGATGGTCTTTCCTCATTTGGCTTATAATTTTCTAAGTGCTTGACTGGAGATTTTTTAAACTACTTCCTAGGCTTTCATAAATTGCAGCATTCAACACAGGTGTGTTATCAATGTGACATGGTACCTGCTTTGGTTCCTTGGTTTTCTATGTTATTTCTTTCGAACTCTTTCAGGATAAATTGAACATACCTCCATTTGAAAGCATTTAGTTTCAGATTTTAGAATCTGCAGAATTATGTTAAATGTGATCTACTCAACATGACCCTTCCATCTTCTGAAACTGTGTATCTTATTCCTTCCCTTTTAATTTGTGGCACATGGAAGATTGTGGCTTCAGGAAAGAATTGCATGTCTGATCTGTAATAACTGTCAGGACCTAAGCGTTTGCTATTACCCCATTTGGGATACTGGGAACATGTAAATCTCCATTGGCAATTAACTGATTTCCAAAAAAGTCATCTGGTTCAGAGGCAGAAAGCTGAGGCTTGGACCATCACTAACTCTCTACCTCCTTTGCACTGAGCTGTTGTCTCCTATGCATCTGAACAATCAGATGCTCAGCCTTATTCTTTGGTTGCTTCTCCAAGGCTCACTGACCCATTTCAGGGATGAAGGAAGCATAATTTCTCCATGGATGCTCAATGCAAATTACTAAGCTCTTCCTTTTTCAGTAAGAGAGATTTTCATTGTAGCTGCAACTCCATTACTAGAGTTAATTGATCTGTGATGTATATTTGAAAGCAAAGCCGTCTGACCTCATGACCATAGACAAGAAAGACAGGGGAAGAACCCATACAGAAGAGGTTACATTGGAGAAATGGAGTCACTTTTAGAGAGACAGATTGTGCCCAATGACCATACATAATAGGACAGGACAAGTAGGAACTGGGAATGCCTCACATTTTGTGACATTCAGCAGGTCACTTGCTATTGTCCTGCAGCACAGACGATGAGTCTCTGCCTTGTAACATTGTGAAATACAAGCCCACATCTCTGCAGTTATTTCTGAGGAGGAGCATGTTCTTAGGAACTGAGTTTCTCAAGCAATTCACATTACAACATGATACTTGAAGCAAACTTTGGAAGACATTTCTGCTTGTGATATTCCAAATTATATGCAACCTTGTTTAATACCTGCTGTGGGTCAAAAGTGTAGAGCTCTCAGTTCCCCACCTATGATTTCCTATAAATCTATCAAGGTGTGTTCCTATGCTCCTGGAGGCCATCAACTGTGTGGAAATCATAGCCATTTAATGCATTTAGATTCCAGAGACAATTTCAGGGATTTCCAAAAGTGGTGATGAAGAATATAACTTCACCTTAGTGGTAGAATAAATTTAGGTTCAGTGACTCCTGTCAAGGGAAAAGCATTGATTTTGTATTTTTTACTAAAAGACAATAAGGGATTTAATAGGCAGAAATGTAAGTGTAGGCACACAAAAATTTGAGTGCACCCTCTCTTTCTCTCAAGAGAGAGGCACAGAATGATTTGGAACTGAAAATACATTTGTGACATTGCCTGTTCAAACAGTGGAATTTGTGAATATGTATGAAGTTACATCTTAATCTTTGTCCATGGGAAAGAAGACGATTCACTTGTAAGAAAATGGCTCATTTTCAAATGAAGGGCATGAACCCTAACAATATTTTTGACCGGTAATATGAGATGTTTTGCTTAAAATATTTGTGTACCCTCATAGTCTGTTCCTTTAATGTCAGAATTCTGCCTTTAATCAACAAAACAATTTTTAGACTTTTAAAGCATTTTTAAGAAATTCTTGGTGTGGGGGGCTGGGGATTTAGCTCAGCGGCATAAGCACCTGCCTTGTAAGCAGGCAGTCATGAGTTTGATCCCCGGTACCAATAAAAAGAAAAAAGAAAAAAAAGTGTAAAAAAAAAATTCTTGGTGTGATACAACCAGAAAAAATAGATTTAAAATAAAAAACCATGGAAATATTGATAAGGAAAATTTATGTGTAACTTGACTGCACGTTGGAGTTGAAGTCTTTCTAAAAATACAACTATTTAGTTATATTGCCATAATCTATCTATAACTCATGTATGTTTTTTCTACCTTACCTCAATAACAGCCAAATCTCAGCAGTGGCCTGATGGTTCTAAGCCATGGTGGATTTGTTCCTTCTCTCTTCCTTGTCCCACCATGTGGTTTGCTGTCCCCAGTTCCCTCCACCTACCTCAAGCCTAGCTACTTCCTT